CCCTCCCTACAAAATTGGCAAACAACTTTATGCATTCATAAGAGTGTTTAGATTGCAATCACCACTTGCTTAATTACAGTTTCTTTTCAAATAAACAAAACAAATATCAAGTATTAACTCCCTTTTAATAAATAAAGGATTTCAAACATTAAGTAGACTGCTGAAATCAGACAGATGCAGGCACTTAGACCAGAACCAGCATTTTAGTCAGCAGTTCCTCCCCTCAGATACAGAGCTCCTCTCTAGCAACAGGTTTCTCTTACTTTTCTCAAATTCATAAATGGTAGCTCAGAAAATCTATTTTTAAGATATACTGACTTTTGAGTTCTAACACAGGAGATTAAGTGAGGTGCCTATAATAGAAAATGAAGAGGAACTTGGCCAACTGCTATGTACCACTAAGGTTGCAGAACTGGGGGCCTTTTGATTCAGTAAGAGCAGCAGTTTGGCTACTGATAGGAAGGCAGTCATAAAAGCTCTCATCTTACCGTTCACTTGAGTAAGTGTCAGTTCTGGAGACGTTAAGTAATACTGGTCACACAACAACTTCGAACTTTCGTAAGCATCTGAAATATTTATTAAATACGTGAAATGTAAAAGTTTATTTTTAATACTCGGCAAAATCTGGCTTTTAAATGAATTAACTGCTAAAGTGTTACAGAGTCCAAGACTGTGTCTCAAGGGAATGATAACACTGTATCCACTGTATGCATTAAAAATTGAAAACAAATGGGGACCCACACCAGCACGAGATCTTCATACAATTTGATAATTGTGTAGAACTGATGCATCTGTTATCTATCAGTAGATAAGACCAACCTCAACACCTCAGACAACTCTAACTCCTACCTCATCTATCACTTGCTAGAACTGAGTCCAACACATTTTTTACTGCTACTTTGGATTTTAAATTCTGGCCTATAAAAGCTTGTACTTTCAGCATAGATAGACTGCTTTCAGCCATTTCAATTAAAGCCAGCCAGCATCCTCTATAACATATTTGGTTACCCAAACTGCTTGCAATCAAATATAAATACTGATCATGAAAAGAAATGTCAAGGATTTGAGAATACATACCATTCACTACTTCAACAACATCACAGCAAGGATCAATACTTCCAATGTGTCTTGGATGCCCTGAGCCAGATTTATCATCAAAAAGGAGAGCTGTTTGAGATGAAAATGATACTATATTTAATCCCAAATATTGTATTATTAAAAAAGCCTAAAAAATTAGACTAATACAATGTGATCACAACAGAGTCACATATAAGAATTAATGTTGTTTATGCTTTTATGAGTTAAAATGCTATGTACTGCCAGCAAACTATGTTGGTTTTCCTGTAGTTCAACATCTGAAGGTTTTTCAGGTGTAAAGAATTGCATATCTACATATTCCACACCACTTATTACAGTTAGTCTGTAGTCTAGAAAACAAGTTCTCATTACTTTCTTAAGTGATAGATTCAGTGTCACACAAAATCATCTGAGGCAGATCTCCAACAGTTTCAAGAAATGTTTACATTAACTTGTTACTCCTTAGGTTGAAGTTTTTCCTCAGGTAAAGGTTTCTACTTACTGTGTTGGTTCATTAGCATCCGGGTGGAAATACGGCTCATGTAAAAACGATCCAAAAAATACTGGATGTTTTGATTGGTGACAGGATCTACTTTAAAAGTGTCTTTGTATTCAATTACTCCTTGTGCCATTGTAGGAACCACATCATGATGTCTGTTTCGGACTCTAATTAAGGTATCTATAAAGCTAGGTCAAAAAGATATTTTTAGAACATTATTCTGAGACTATAGAGGCAAGATTTGTACAATGTAATTATCTAATCCAGCAGCAGCAGCACAGGTAAGTGCTTAACAGTTTTAATATTACAATACAGTCTACTATTTTCATTCTTTTAAAAGTAATTCCTCACTGACTTAAATCAGGAGAGTTTGTTATTTTTAATACAAAAGGTATAATTATTAGCCATGTCAAATTCACTGCCTGTTTACTCATTTATGTGAGCAGATACGTGAGAATGTGAGGAAGAGAAAAAGATCCTTAGCTGACACCTTGGAAAGAAGTGGGGATGTGACTTCACAGAAAATTTTTGTTGATATTTTTCTGTCATGACAGTTCAAGGGGCAGTATGACCTTGAAATCAAGCTGTAACAGGTCATATTTATTTGCAATATTGCTGAACATGATCAGAGATTTAAAGCAGCTTGCTCTATGCAGAACACTTTATGCTAGATTATCAAATTCAGCTCATGACAGCTGTCAGTCTAAAGTGACAATATTACGAAAAGTAGAACATGAACTAAAAAATCCAAAGAAACAAATTATAAGCTTACTCAGATAAGACTTTTTGGTCATCTGGGCTTTTGTGATGGAACTCGACCAGCTCCTTCAGGCTTTGGATGTACCTATTAAAAAAGAACACAGGAAATATATGCTATTCATTTGATTTTTCTTAGCCTAGGAATGTGAAAAGTACTTTGCCTTATCCACATCATTACTCTTAACAAGTCAGCTAGGAGTTTGAAGTGTCTTTGAAGTTGGAAGTATCTTTGAAGTATCAAACTTCATCCAATAGTGGAATGAGAGATGGACTTCTCTTGACTGCCTGGATCCTAAAAGTCTTTTCTTGTGCCTGCCATGCAGAAAGGAATCTAAACCCTCACTTTAGGTACATAGAATCACCTTAAAATTCTTGAGAAGAGACATATTTCAAAAGAAGATTCAAATGACAATACTGGTCAGGAAGTCACTTAAGCAAAATTTTTCCAAATCTGATCAGCTTTGGCAGAAGCTAAGCAGTTGAGCCTCTTGTACTAACATCTGACAGTCTTGACGCATACTGCAAAGGCACAACTGTTTGCTATATTAAGAACAGTTTCTAGATCTCACTCTAATACTTCTGCCCTTTATGTCAGCCATCCGGGCAAATGCTGCAACTGTGCCAGTAAACAAGGTTAAATCAGATTCAACCACTCTGTCAACTGCAGAGATAATGTTAATTGAATTCCAAACACTTGCTGCACAGGTCAAGGCTTTGGAACAGAAGCTCTGTTAGTAATCTGAAAGAATGAAACAAGTATATAGCCCGCTTTCCCATTTTTACGTGGCTCCACGGGTCTGTAATGCTATATGAAAACAGAGCACACCTTCTTCTCTCCCTTCTTAAAGAATGAGAAGTGAGATTTGCTCTAACAGCTATTTCAAACTGCTAAAAACCCCCCACCTATTTAAAGGTAACAATATAAATATGTTGGTTTTCAATTTACTTTTAGCAAGCTAGAAAAGGACAGTGTGTAACAGTTTGCAATTTATCTTTGATGAAGGAACTGCATTTCTAGTGTATTTTGTTATGTTTTCTACTATTCAAAAAAGTCTGTGACAATAAAGTTGTCAAAGCTGTGTTACTTTATAGGCTGAATTCAAGTAGTTCATACTTACCAGCTTTTTACTAATTGTACTGATGGAGTGCCCAGTAATTTATCAGGAAGAAGATCAATTTCTCTCAGTATGTTTGCAAACCTCACAGGAAGTTCTTGTCGTAAAAACGCAAAAGACGTTCTCTCACATCCATTAGTCGAGCCTATGAATAAATCCAAAATAAAACTTTTGTTTAAGGAAGTTTCAAGATGCAACTACAAAATACTGGCTCTCCACAGATTTCAGAACGCTGTTTACAGGACGGCAAGACACAGCGCATTCCTAGGAGGAATACCTGTACAGTTCCCATGTAGACACGGGTCTTATCTGCAATCCTCTAAGAAGCATAATAGCCTCTGTAAACACGAGCGTCTTCGGGGTGACGCCTGGCAGTGTCATGTGCGCACAGCCGCCCCGGCTGCCAGAGCGATAACGGGATCTGGGAACAGCGTGTCCACTTGGCCGAGGCCGATGGCTCCTCCCGATACCGAGCGCGCTGGGCACGAGTACGGCTCGCACACCATTCACCTCTCGGCCCCCGCACCCCACGAGCACCGCCGAAACAGCGCTGTAGCGCATCTTCAGCTCCGATGGCGCACTCAAGTCACCACCGTCCGGCACCTGAGGCTGGAGGTGGTCACCCCTGGCGACCTCCCCGCCGCCGCCACCGCTCTGGGGCCGGCAGGTCCCCGCCGGGGCTCGCCCCCCTGCGCCGCCCTGGCGCTGGGCAGCCGGGCCGGGGCGGCAGCGACTCCCCCGCGGGCTGAGCCTCCGGGCGATCCCCCGGGCTCGTCCCGCCGCGTGGAAACAAGCCCCCGAGTGCTGCTCTTGAGCCGCCCCTCCGCCCAGACCCTCCCCTGCTCATCCCGCGTCTCACCGAAGTCCAGTAACTGCTTGATGGAGAGCGGGGAGGGGGAGAAGCGGGAAAACTGTTCCACCTCCTGCGGCAACCGGCTGCGGCTGCTGCTGGCGCTGGCCCCTGCCAGCGGGGCAGCGCTGCGCAGGGCGATCCGTGCGGCCTTCATCGCTCCCAGGGCGACGGATGCGTGGCAGATGAGCGAGCGGTCTGTCGGTGGCTCCGGGACTGGAGCTGTACCCTTGTCCCCTCGCCTGTGGCGCGGGGCTTCATGTGGCGCCTCTATTTACAATCGCATGGGGCGGGGCTCCGACAGGCCGCGCCCCCGCCGGAGCGCCTCGTGACGGCGCTGGCGGGGTTCCCCTTTCCCCCGCCGTCCCGTGGCCGCGGGCGCGTCGCCAGCCCCGCGGGGAAAGCGCCAGGGGCGCCGGGGAGGCCGTGGGGGAGCCGCGGGGCCGGGGAGGCGGAGCGGGGGGAGCTGACCCTGCGCCTCCCGCCGTGATCTTGTTTACCGGGCGAGGTCGGCGGCGGGGCGGCCGTGCCAAGGTCCCGCCCCTCATTGGCTGCGGGGGGGTCCGGCCGTGGGCAGGAGCCAATGGGCGCCCGGGCCGCCGGGAGCGCGGGGCTGTGTCGGGGCGCCATTGCCCGCCCTGGGGGGCGCGGGGGTGGCCGGGGGACGCCGTGTGTTTGCACTCATTCGGGGAGGGCTGGCCTTCAATTACTGAGGGGGTCGTGCCACCGTCGGCGCAGAGACTACGTGGGTGTGCAAAGGGAACAAAATCAGATCCCAGCCCGCAGGGTTCAGGTTGTTCACATGTAGGTCGGGGCTGTGACCTGGGTTAATAGTGACCAAACACCTGAGGACAGCTGTGCTGGTGACGCACTGGTCCAGGGTCGGCATGTGGCCTTTATTTACTGTCTCTAGAGCTGACGGGAGAGGCGACTGACAGGACAGTGCTCTCGGGGGCAGCTCATCTTCCAGGTCACGGTCGATCCGGGAAAAGCCTGCTCACCTTTCCTCTTTGCTGGAGAGGGAGCCTGGATGTCCCGTGCTGCCTGGCCTTTTCCCAACACACCAACTCCACTAAGGGCAGGTTTTGCATAATGCATTGAAGAATGGAGTTAATGTCAGTGAAGGAGTTCCTGACCTTCTAAAACTTGGTCTGAAACAGCAGGAACGTGTGGCAATAAAACAACAATGCAAACACTGGCAAACAACTCCGTAGTCCAATTATTGTATGCATATTTCCACACACACACACAAACATGTAAACTTTTTTTTCAAGGGAAGGAAGATACGTTCCTAACAAGAAATTCAGATGTTTGGTTTAATAGGCAGAGGAGAACACTTTAGCTTGTAATTAGATTGGGACTTTTTAACTGTATCTCATTTTTTTCTCTTCCTAGTCATATCTGTTATCCCTGCTTATGGTTCTACTCCCACTGTACTTTATGTTTCATTATTTTATTGCTCCCTGTTTTATTATTTTATTGGGAGAGTTACTGGTTGTTTCTCCATTCAATATATTCTTGTTTACCACAATGATTGGATGTTGGCATATGAAATGTGAAATGAAGCAAAATGTAGAGCTCTAATAGCAGCAAATGTAATCACTTTGATTTTTGCTGTCCTTGCCAGAAGTTGAAAATCAAAAATAAATGTTGGTATTTTCTTTTGACTGTTTCAGCTTTGTTTGCCTGCAAGTTGCAGATGACTCAGAGAAGTGAAAATGTCATACAAATTTGTTTAAATCATGAAACCTGTAGGGATAGCCTTTGTTTTGTTTCACATTCTTCCTGAAGCCACTAATAAGTGGCAAGCAAGAATCTCAAAATTAACACTTTGCAAAAAAATCTAGGTCAGAAAAGTCCTCTGCACTAGGCAGATATTCTGGTTTATAAGGTCACTATTTCTATTGAATTGAGATACTTTATTTTAATCTGTTGTTGTGCTGAGCCTGCTTAGTATAAGTAACTTGAATATCCTTTGTAAGAAACATATTACACACCCTGTTTTGAACAGGGAAGAAGTCTACTAGGAATAATTTCTTTCATTTACATTAATTCTCTTTACAGCAACGCACTTTCTCATTGTTTTCCTGGTAGTTGTATGCAGTAAGGGATGAAAAAATATCTTACATATTCAGTTTAGCTCTGAACAAACAATACAACTTTAGTTGCAGGAAATATGGGAAACGTGTTGCCTTCCCCAATTGTTAAAAGGGCAAGGCTCCAGTAACTCAAAACCAGGATGTTTTTCAAATCAAAACAAACTTCCACAAGAATTTTACAAATTAGCAGTGCAATAATGAACAGGGGTTTCATTACTTCAATGAGCATCTGGAAGAAGTGTTTCTCCTTCATAATGCAAATTTGCTTCTTGCTCTTTGTTTTAATGGGTTATATATTACAGCAGGTTCTGAAAAATATGAATTTCCATTGCTGTAAACATAAACTATATCAGTCTGAAATAATTGTTAAGGATGTCCTGAATATTGAGCAAGACAGCTAAGTTTTATGTAACAATATATGAGGATTCATGGTCAGCCAAACTTCACATGAAGACTAGGCTGTGAAAATTGTAACCACTTCAAACAATGCCTCAGTCTGTCCCATCTCCAGCAGTGTTCTCACTTGATTTTTTCTCCAAACCACTATTTCCCCCTCCCCCTGAAACTCCTGTGCACGTGATAGTTTTAAGTGCAGGTGTTGGAGAACAGGGTTTTGATAGTGAAGGACAGTGCCAAATTCTGAACTGCAGTATTCATCAGAGGAGATCTCATTTCTGCTGCTTAGATATTTTAACTTTCCTCTTCTGAACTGCCCCAGAGCAAGTTTTGAAAGGCAGTAACAACACTTTCAGTTGCTCGGTTGCAGCAATGTTTTGCTGACTATGCTTAAGAATATGGAGCTGCATTAACGTTCTGCTTTTTTGCACAACAGATGGGTCCAGAAGAGTGGAATGAATGAATGCCAGATTCCTGTCCATTTGTCTCCTAGTAGCTCTCCATTGCAATCAGCTACCTTTCACCTCATGTTCCTTATGTCATCCCCCCAGCCGGAGACACAACATGCTGTACTTAGGTCAGAGCCAGGTTCCTGGTTAGCCAGCATACCTAATAACTGACCCGTGTTGCTGATGTCTAATAGAAGGTATCTTGGCTGCTTTTGCCCTGCCTTTTTCTCTGTAGGGACACAAATTTAAGGCTCTTTTTCCTAACACACCTGCCAACAAGTGCTGGAGATGCAATATGCTGTGCTGGGTTGAGTGCCCTCTCCTGACCAGCCAGAATATGTGATGACAACTGGTGTGGTTGCTCTCTCTAGTAGAGTGAATCTTGGCTGAGTTTCTCCTGCCTTTATTCAAGGTGGAGCAAAATTTGAATCTCTTCTCTCTAAATCACCTGCTAGTTTGTACAAAGTTTGTAAGGAGTTGATTATCTATTCAAATTTGTTTGAAATGGTTAGGAGGGATGGTTTGGCGAAAAGGTGAACAGGCAGCATTATCAAATTATTTTCCCTTGTGGAACCAGGCTAACATTTTCTGCTAAGGGCAAAGGCAGCTTCTAATTCAGCTTTTATAAGGAAGGGTAAATGATGACGCAGGATGAGCAGTAAGTCAAGGTGGAAATTAGTGGTAGCACTAGAACGTTTTGAATGTAAGCAGAAGGAATAGTCAGGTGACTGAAGAGCATGAGTTGTATTTGCAGGACTTTGTGAAATTTCCAGCAGTACCAAGGGCAAAGCACTTTCCCTCCACCTGCAGATGGGTCTGCATTTATGTAATGGGATTGTTACTTCAACCTACCGATACATTTGTTTTCTAAATATTTATGTGGCCCTTTGCATGGAAAAAAGGACAGAAATAGCATTACAAACAAGGGTCATATCTTCCCATTCTCATCTTTCTGTCACTCGATGCTGGTGCCGCAGGAGCTGTCGAGCTGCCAAGGGCTTCCAGTGTGGCCAAAATAGCCGAAGTAGGTGAAAGGTTGTGGAGGAGCACACAAACAGCCTGGCGTGCCTCTTCAGTAGTTCAGTGAGGGAAAGGTCCTGCAGCTGCTCCAACACTTGTGCAATCTCCCCTGCCCACTCACAACTTGCAAAAGTCAAGAGTACAGTAGCTGGATCATTTTACGGATGAAGCTGTGACCAGTCAGCAGCCTGCTTGGAGCTGTGGACACAAGGATGAGCATGGCAACTCAGCAGGTGTTGAGCAGGAAACACCCTTTTTCCTCATCCCCTGCCTTTGTTACCCGTGCCTGAAATTGTCTGTTAAATAGCTAGAGATTCTTCCATGACATTAACTGTGGGTATTTAAACTGGGAGTACAGAGATAAGCCTAGCCATGACAGAGATAGCAGAGAGGGAGAAGACTGTTTTGGTGCATAGCTCTACCCTTCAGGAAATAAAGCTAGGACTCAAACTGTGATAAAAGTATGACTCAAAAGCTTGTCACTAGAGCATGTAGAATTTAGGAGGCTGCTTGCTAAGTAGGAGAATAGTAATCTTCAGCCAAGTACTCCACTGCAGAGGAAATAAAGGTAAACTCTCAGTGTGGGCTGGCACTGGTCTAAAGTACATAGCTAGACAAAATAATGTCCTTTTCCAGCCTCAGCTGACTACCATAGCAGTTCTTGTGGAAGACCATGTGGCATCCTCTATGACAACTGCTGATGCAGAGGAAAAGAAAGAGGACAGGCGTTATCAGGACAGCTGCCACTTTGTGCCGTGGCTGCCTTTACTGTGAACAGCCCTGCTCTAGAGAAGAGCACCTGGGAAAAGATGGACACCTTGTGAGAAGCCAGGGGGAAAAAAGTGAATGTTACTAAAATAATACAGCTTTTAAGGTCTAAATATGTTTCAGCAGAATCAGAAAACAGTTATATTTTTCTGTAAGAATATAGGAATGGAGCTAGTGTAACAAGAGGTCTCAATTTAAAAGTTTTGGATTAGATGTCTTAAGAAACACCAGAAATACCTCATTCTGAGAAGGAGTTCTAGTTTCACCTGTAGCCTTTACATGAGTCATGGGCCTTGAACTGGTACACATACTGCTTTTGTTTTTCTGAGTGGACAACTCTGGGTGAAATGAGATGTTTTTGCTAAATCTTCCATCAGATGTGCTTGATACTGTTGACTGTAGTGGGACAATTGGTAAACTGGATGTGGTGGCTTGAGTTTCTGCTCACACCCGTAGCCTTGAATTGTTACTTTAGGTTCTTTTGTCTGAGGCTGATCTTAGAAAGCATTCTGTTTCCCCAGTTGTTCCATCTCAGCATTTCTTTCATCAGATATCAGAGTTTATTTTCTTTTAGTGTCCACATGATAGGAACCTGAATGAGAAGTTTAGCCTAGGAAATATTAAACCAGGACAACAGACATCTTTTAGAAGAGGGTTCTGTATGGTGTTATCTGACCACCCTTTCAAAAGAGTTTATGGTATCTCTGGAATGCCGCTTCTCCCTAGTGCTTTGGATGGGAAGTTTATTTTCTGTTTGCAACATCCTGACTATTATCACTGAAGTGTGATTTCACAGATACTAATCAGTTGTTCTCACAAAGACTGAGTTTCCATAACGTACTTTACAGAAGATATTTACACAGTAGATCTGTTGGAGTTTTCTTAACTGATGGAATGTATAGCCACAGGCTAGGCTATAATACTTGTGTTAAATACGAAAATGTAGCTTGTGTATTAAAATAGTTCTGATAGACAGTCAGTACGATAAAAAATGTTGCACTGCACAATTAAAATGGTTTGCCTTTGAGTCCGAGTAAGTGAAAAATATTTTTGTGTCTTGTAACTAACGGGTATCTAATGATGGGTAAACTGTCAATGCAACGTTGCTGGGACATCAAGAACAGCTTAAACAAGGAAAGTCTCCCTCTCTCCATTAATTGTGGAACTGTTTCAATCTCGTGGTATACTAGACAAAACTCATGGAGTTTCACTATGCAGTGTTAGTATGTTTTCTTTTTACTGTAATGCTTTTAGTATTATTTATTACTGTATCAACTTTGGTATTTTCAATACATTTTTCAAAGTAGTGCTCCTCTAATAGTCACTGAAATGAAAACCAAAATCATCAGTGCTATGGTGGTACTTGATTTCCAAGATTTCTGTTTAACTAGAGTGAATAAAAACCTACACTAGTTTAATATTTCTTAATTTCACTTGTTGAAATTACACCAATATTCTGAATTAAC